CTTTTTCCTGTTTTGCTGAAGGAACTGCTCCAGCTTTGCGGACCTCTGGGTCAGGTCGAAATGCCATAAAAATGCTAGAGGTGAAGTGCTGCTCTTTCAGGGGTCGAGCATTCAGAGCCGAGTTCTGCCTCTTGCTTGTGGTGAGCAGCATTAGTTTGTGAGTGGTGCCAACGCAGCAGAAGTCACTTTGCAGCAGCAGTGATGCTGCAGTGCAGCTCTGTGTGGGGACAGCAGTAGGAACCTGTGCCCTGCCAGGCCAGGGAGCAGCCTGTGCTTGTTTGCAGTTTCAGGAGGTTTGTTCCTTCTTTTGTTGCATTGCTTGAGCTGATCCATTGCCCACATCAGAGCTGGAAGCTGGGGAAGGCTGGAGGGCTCCTTGGGAGCTGGTTGGGAGCAGCCTTGGTGCTGTGGAGCTCTGTGTGTGTTCTGCTGGGTTTGGTCTCGCATCTGTGGCTCAGGTTGGCCATTTGTTTCTGGCAAATGGAAAACCCAAATCAGCGTTTGAAGAGAGGCCTTTGTGAAATGTGAATTCCCATGGATCCAGAAGGCTGCAGGGCACCTGCAGAGAACCTGCCAGCATTGAAGAGGAGCGCTGTCTGCTCGGAGAGGGGCCGTTTTAATTACCTGCCTGTAAGCCTCCGCGTGTTCCGAGCACTGGGGCACTGCTTCCCTATCAAGACACTTCTGTGCCTTTGGAACTGCCTACAAGGCTATCCAGAAGATTTTTCTTTCTTTTTCTCATCCGAAAAAATCAACATGTTTTTGTGCTCAGGCAGCTGTAGAGCACTGTTCCTGAAGGCACTGAGTCAGGGCTGATTACTCACGGCTTTAATGACACATCTGTGTGCAGCCAGGGCAGCTCCATTGATTTCAGAGCTGAGGTATGTTGGTGGGACGATGTTTTGGGGATTTGGTGGAGTCAGTGCATGCTGTGTGACTGCAGCAGCCCTGCATGGTGTGCAGACTGGCCGCGCCGTGCTGCAGGCAGCGCTCTGAGCAGCGGGGCCGGGCACACGTGTGAAACCTCCGCTCTTGGACCGCAGCGTGGACGGATGAACTCCTTCATCGTGCAGCTCCCTGCAGAATTATTCAGTGGGAGTTACTAACAGTGGAGACATTCTCTCCCCTGTGGGGCTTTACAGCCCTTTCTTTCTCGTGGAAGAGGAGTTTCTCGTGTTCTGCGTATCCCACTGCGCTGCTCCCTGCAGGACACTAGAAAGAGTTCTGAAGTGACCAAAGCTGAGGAAGAATGTGGGTGCATCCCTCCCACCCAGACCACCCTGTGTCTGGCTCACACCAGGCAGCACAGCCCTGCCCTGCAGGAGCACAAAGGTGCTGGTGGCCCTGCAGCCATCACCAGCAGCTGCTGCTGACATTCTGATTTTGGGAACACAGCGACACGTTTCACTTGGCAGCAGGGGACCACTATAATCCCATGGATGTTTGGGATGAGAAACCCCATTTTCTTTGCTGAAACCTTTTGTGGGACCCGGGGCACATCCTTAAGTAGCTGCAATCTCTGGGTGTGATTTTGTTACACATCAATATAATGACGTGACCTTCTGCAGCGCGTGTGTCCGTGCAGGGGCTGCACTGGGTGCTCATTCCCTCCTGCTGCCAGATGCTGCTGGTCAGCACTGTCCTCTGCTGAGTGGTTGGACCTCATCTTTCCTAGAAGAGCAGGTTACTGTGGCTACAGGTTGTGAAAGCCAGCGCCGTGTGCTGAACACTGCAAGGAAGGGAGTCCCAAAGGATTTCTGATCAAATTCATTTTGCTGCGTTTCCACGGAAACAAGCTGTGCTGAGCCAGCAGGGCCCTTAATGCTGACATGAAGCCATCAGATGTTCCGGTGTTGGACAGGATGAGCTGTGCCTGCTTTCTGATGTGCTGTCCTGGTTTGCAATTACAGCACTGTGCTCCTGCTCCTCTCTGCTCCCTGCACGCTGCTGGGGCCGAGCAGAGCCCAGGGCGTTCACTTCCAGCTCTGTGCTGTGAGTGTGAAAGGCTGGGAGTGGGCAGGAGCTGCACGCCTGGCAGCCGTGTGTTTGCATCAGAGGGGAGGAAAATGAGGGAAAATGCAGATGCTGGGGGCCCCTGTGCATCACGGGTTCGGCCCTCATGCTGCGCCTGCTGCGGCTGGCTGCCAGCAGGCACTTCTGCAGCTGGGGCAGGTGCCAGAACCATCCCTGCTTTCATTTGCCAATAAACTCCCATCGTAGCAATAGTGGTTTTCTTACTATAAGAGTACCCAGTGCTGTCTTTATAGTGTATATGTAGGATTTGTCAGAAATCAGTGTTCAGCCAAGGCTCCATACGTGTGTACAGACAAGTAGTGTTTTGGTCTGTAGGAATCTGGTTTCCATTAAGTGATCTCTGAGAGCCATGCCAGACGTTAACAGCACTGCTTCTCCCTCCAGCTGATTCAGTTCCTTCCTAACCCTAGACCTGGTGTGATTGCAGAATCCATCTGCAAGCACTGGGCACCTCCTGCTTCCCTGCCCCTGTGGTCATGTTCTGTCCAGGGCACCTTAAGGGCTGTTCCTTGGGCGTCCCTCGCCTTTGTATCCAGAAAACAGGCTCGTGCACGGAGCCCTGCCCAGGTGGCAGCTCCCTATGATGGTTGTGCATCCTGGGGATGTGGTGACAGCCACCACCACCCTTGTTCTTGCAATGGCTTTCGCCGTGTGTATTCTGAATGGATCACAGCAGCAACCTGGCCTTGATTCATGCTGGGGAGTTTTCTGTGGGGATGGAAAGCCAAGACTGTTTGTTTAGGGAACGTAAATGGTGCTGTACAGCAACCCCTATACTGCAAAGAAAGGAAGAGAACAGGAGCTGGCACCGAGGCTGTGGTTGTTCTTGAAGCATTGTGCTGGTTTGCTCCTGTACTGCAGGAAAGAGATCAGTCGCTGGGAGCTGCTGGGAACCACTAATGCTGCTGGGAGCTGCTGGGAGCCGTGGGCTCTGAGGTGTGGTTGGGGTGAGGACCAAGGAGGCGCTGCTGGGGCCAGCAGTGAGATGAGGGCATCCCTCCAAAAAGAGAAGAAATTCCTATGTCAAATGAAACCCAATGGTGCCAGAGCCATTAAGGGGCTCTGGCCCTCTTTCGCCATTAAGCTAACGTGAGATGTGGTTTATAGTCCACCTGGCTTTACTTCAGCTTGAAGCTTGGCACGTAAAACTCCAGGCCAGACTGCTTTTTGAAAGGAAAATGTAACTTAAATCAGTTGTACGGTTTCTTTTTTTCTGGTTTTAAATAAATTGCGTTTGGCTTTTTCAAATCCTCTGCTCTTGCCATACCCCATTCCTATAAAAAAGGAATAAAGGAACTCAGCTGGCCAAGGAACATTCTGATAGCAGGGCACAGTGCTGGGCTGACACCAGAGGGAAAAGTGCTGCGGGTCCCTCAGTCCAGGTTAGGGCTGGGGTTGGGGTTAGGGCCAGGGTTAGGGCTGACAGATCCACAAGGTGTGGGCAGCAGTGGGAGGTCCTGGAGCAGTCATGGGCTGCCAGCGAGGGGATGGTTAGCAGGGAGGGGATGGTTAGCAGGGAGGGGATGGTTAGCAGGGAGGAACAAAGCTCTGCCTGAGTAAGGAGTGAATAGGAGCCTCTGGGCTCAGCATGTGAATGCACTGAGTGCTGCGGGCACTGAAAGTGAATTATTTGCGGAGGTTTTCCACCAAATTAATGACATCATTCTGTGCCAGAGTTCACCCATTGACGCTCTCAGGCTCTCCTAGCAGCTGGTTGCTAAATGGCCACATTCAGGCTTGAATCTGCCCATTGAAGGGCAAAGTTCTGACCCTTCTGAGCAAACTCAGTGAGCAACTTGGGGCTGTGCTGTGCCTCCAGTCTGTGTCCTCTTCCTCTTACAGGCCATAAATGCAGATATTACAGGAGAGGTTTAGGTTGGATATTAGGAGGAAGTTTTTCACTCAGGATGGTGAAGCACTGTTCACAGGTTGCCCAAGGAGGCTGTGGATGCCCCAGCCCTGCAGGCATTCAAGGCCAGGCTGGATGTGGCTCTGGGCAGCCTGGGCTGCTGGTTGGCGACCTGCACACAGCAGGGGGTTGGAACTGATGAGCACTGTGCTCCTTTGCAACCCAGGCCATGCTGTGATTCTGTGATTCTATGATAGTAGCCCGCACTTAAGCAGGGGCAGTTCCTCACTGATTTGTATGTTTGTGCAGAACTGTCATTTTTGGCCATTCTCTGCACACTGACATCTGCTCCTTCACCTCTTCCACGTCTGTCACTTCCTGAATTTCTCAGAGCTCTGACTCCGGTGCTCCTCCACCGAGGGGTCCGTCTGGTTCTGTGCAGTCCAAAGTTAGGGAAAACAGCCGTAAACCAAAGTCTGAAATGATTCATTTGCTTTTGCGTTATGTCCACACCCTGTTGGCCGTACGTAAGGTGAGGTCAGCCCGTCTGTGCCTCAGGTGTTTGCTGTTGGAAGGAGACCGCGCTGCCAGCACTGATGCATGGCTGCCATCCCCATCCCCATGGCCGTGTCCCTCTGGCTGCCATCCCTCAGGTCGCTGCCTGGCTGGGGCTGCCCTGCATTCATGCCGCCCGTCCCTGTGGAGTGGTTCTGCCAATGTAATCAGAGCCATGTCAACAAAGGAGCCACTCAGAAAGCTGCGGAGCAGCCACACAGGATGCGAGGACACAAAGGATCCCTTTGGCTGGAAATGTCTCTGCAAAGTCCAAAAATAATTGGGGCTGAGCTGCAGCACCTCAGGAAGTGTCCCTGCCTGGGGCCGGGAGCTCCCTCGGCAGCTGCTGCACTGTCTGACCCCCGGTGGCTCTTGGTTTGAGTCCCGCGTTTCCTTGTGATTATTTCTGCCTCTACACAAAGCATCCAAAAGCAAATTCATGGTGACGCTGGGTTGTTTTTAACCACATCACTCTGTGTTGTATTTTTCCACTCAGAGTAAATTTCCTAAGGGTTCTGTATGAGCACTGTAAGAACACAGCCATCTCTTTGCCCTTTTCCAGGTTACTCCTCGGCAGTACAGAAGTTCTCCCAGACTCTGCAGTCCTTTCAGTTTGATTTTATTGGTGACACCCTAACAGATGACGAGATTAATATTGGTGAGTTTTCTTCTTTTTGATGCAAGCTTTCACTTTCTAAGAAGGTCTCTTTCTTTAGGAATCTGCCTATGCTGATGGTTTCTGAACAGAGCCAGGACCAGGTTCCTCAGCCCAGCAGGCACTCACACTGGTTCTCCATGGTCCCACTGTGCCCATCCAGCACTGACACAGTGTGCTGCAGGGAACACACTCCCCTCTCCTGGTGGTCCTGAGGCTCAACCCACATTTCCAGTGCAGAGGGAGCATGAGGTGCTTTGCTTCATGTCCTCTGATGCTGCTGCTCTTGCTTAGCTCTGCTGCAGGCATCTTGCAAGTACAGGGCAGCCCCGTGCTGCAGACTGCCAGTAACATCATCCTGTTGGAAGTGTTGTTGAATGGGAAATAGTCCCCATTCGGTGTCTGCTCCCCACCCTTCTGGTTTAGGATTAGCAATCCAGAATGATTCCTCACTGCCAGCCCAGCATATGCCAGCTGCACCCAAGGAACGCAAGGAGCACCTTAAGCACAATGTGTTTCTGAGTGCTCCTGCTGCTGGCTGAGCTGTGGCATTGCTTTAGGGGGGCCGGGGCAGGAGGGGGCACGCAGGGGCAGTAGGAAATCTCCCACTGCAATGGAGGCTGTGGGGCACTTCTGAAATAATGGCATCTTCTGTCAGTCTGCAGGGAGCTGCAAGTGGGACATGCTGATGTCAGGTCTCAGCTGGCGCAGGAAGGGGAAGGAAGCAGAGCCTGCTCTGCTGGTTGTGTTATTTAAAGCTGTTCAAAGTGGATTGTGGTGTGCCCTTCAAAATCTAATTCCCTTTATGGAAAGTTGCTAGGTGAAGCCTACTGGAAGTGAGTCAGCTTCCAAACCAAATGGAAATAGAGGTGCTGCATTTCCAAACACATCTGGGTAGTGCAGGGAGAGCTGTTGCATTCTAAAGAACCCTGGGGGAGCAGAGAGGTTTGAAGCAAGCAGCTGTATGGGCAGCGGAGAGAAGAGGAGATGTAAGACGCTTAAAGCAGCAAAACCCTTTTCTGTTTTTGCTGGGAAATATTTGTTTTGCTTTTTTGAGAAGAGGGCCCGTATCACCTGGTGTGAAGATGTCTGTACTGTGTGCCTCCTCTTACTGCAAGCCTGTAGCGTCTGCTCAGGGCTGAGCTGCTCTGCAAGTCTTTCTTGTTCCCAAAACACGAGCAGGGTGTTGGCATCTCCATAGCAGCTCCAGAAGCTGTCGGGCTTCTGAAGAACACAGCAGCGTGTGAGCGTAGGAGCTGCTCTGATCACAGATATGGGAACGAAGCAAAACATGACTGAGCTCTTATCGCCCGTCAGGGAACGTGTGCAAATACAACTGGGGCTGCTCTTTGTTCTTTTCGTGTAGGCAGACACAGCTGACACCCATGCACCCAAGGCAGTGGTTTTGAGTGCTGTGGGTTGGGACTGCAATGCTGGCACTGCAACGGGAGCCTGCACTCACACTGTGGGATGTGTTTGGGGGCTGCTGTGTGGCTGCAGCCAGGCCACGCATGCCTGTGTTCCTGCAGGGGAAGAAATGCACATCAGCAAAAACTTCTAGGCGCTGACATTTTCCCTATAACTCCATGGCTGGAGGCCTTTCCGCCCTGTGTTAATTCCTTTGCTAGCTCAGGCTCCTTGCACTTGGCTCCTAGTGCCTGTGTGTGTGCACCTCTCAATCCTTCACCGTGGAGCAGAACTCAGAAAGCACTGACTCGTCGGGAGAGCTGTGCTGTGTGTTGATGGTGCCAGCTGACTGACTGCATCACGAGGTTGTGGTTTCTCTGCTTTGTGTCTGTCTCATCAGCTGCAGATTGAGTCCTTTAACTCCACAATTTCACACTGGCTCACTGCACTGCAGCATCATGGCAGCTTCCAGCAGGACAGGTGCTTTTCCAAAGGTTTTGCCTGTGGATGTGGAGCCCTCAGCTTGCAGATATGGCAAAAATGCATCCTGTCCCTTATCTGTGGCACAAGCTATTGCTATGTGTGTCTCACTGTGTGTGTGGTTCATTCATTCATTCCCTCATGGCTGTTCATGCTGAGAGCCCTTGGTGCTGCCCTCCAGAGCTCTGCTGCAAGCCTCTCTGTTGGGCCACCTTTTGGTTGGTTCTCAGATATTCTTTGTATTGCTTGGCAAGAGTGCAGAGCCTGAATACAGAGCCTGAACTGCAAGCAAGGGGATTTCAGTAGATATTACAGAAAAAACGCTGCTGTGTGCTGCTTGCAGGTGCTGCTGCTGCTCCTGGAGCTGGGGGCTGTGCATGGGAGCATCTCCCAGCAGCACGGCCCTGCGCCCGCTCCATCCCTCCCACACAGTTCTCAGATCTGCTCCTGCAGCTGGAAGAGCCCTGGGGCTCAGCACCGCACCGCGCTGTGCACAGGTAGATGGCTGCCCAGAGCTGGGGCTTCTGCACGTCTCATTTCAGTGATGTTACTGCCTGCATGGTGAGAAGGATTTCCCGTGACAGCTGGCTGCAGTCTGCCCCATTACCAGCTCAGCTGCTTGCTGTGCTCTGCCCTCCGGGGGGCAGGGAGCAGGGCTGGATGTTCCGCTCCATCATTGCCCCTTTTCCTGGAAGGCGCTCTGCTGTTCCCACCTGCTCTCTTTTTTTCCACCAGACTGAACAAATCTTGCTTTTTCAGTTTGCTAAAGGAAAGGCCTCATACTAATTTTGTTTCAGTTGGACTCCAAGAAAAATGCTGCTGCCGAAGATTCTTTTCGTTTCATTGTTGAACACTGCAGAGCGCTGTCAGTACCCGAACCTTTTCAACAGCTGCTGCCCTTCCTTCCTCATCACAACGACTCTGTGCTTTTTGTTGCTGAACATAATCTCTGCTGTTTGGGTATTTTTACATCTTGTCCTGGCCCAGCAAGGGCCCCACAGCTCTCCCAGCTGTGCAGTGCTCATGTCTCCTGGCTGTGCAGAAGTGTGGGGTGAGCTCTGCTCGTGGCTGCAGGGATGGACCCAGCACAGGAGCTCTGCACACCTTCCAGCAGCCTGCCCAGCACTGCCACGTTGACTTTATCTTTGTTCTCCCTGCAGCTGAGTCCTTCAAGGAGTTTGCAGAGCTTCTCCAGGAGGTAGAGCTCGAGAGATCAATGATGGTAAGATGATTCTAACAGCCTTCTGGTAATGGCTGCCTGGTTGTATCTTGTAAATGCTAAATCATGGCCCACCTGCAGCACGCAGCTTGGTGTAAAGCTTCTTGTCATGCAGGAGCCACAGCAGCAGGACACTGTATTTGCAGCCCATGTCCTGAATAGCAGAGGGAGAGGTGCTGGACAGGATGGGCAGTTCCACACCAGCACCCGAACCTCTCCTGCATGCTGTGCAGCCACTCTGCTGCACAGCCCTGCACTGCCAGGCTGACTCTGGGTGCATTTCTGGCTTCATTCTCCCCAGTGGCAGTGTGCACTGTCCTGCTGTGCAGCTGCCCTCCCTGCACGCAGCTCCTGCAGGAAGATTTGCTCCCTGCTTCATGTGCCCTCTTCATCTTCGAAACTCCTCAACACAGAGCTAGTGTTGGCTTTCCATTTCGCTCTTAATTCCAGGAAAAACACGAAGGTTGGGCTCTGTGGAGAGCTTTTACAGCATGCCAGGAATTAGCTGCTTGGCGCTGTTTGCTCCTGCCTCGTGCAGCAGTGGGAGCTCGTGCCTGGCAGCACCAGCGGGGCACTGCTGCAATGCCCTGTGCATCCATGGGCTGGGAGGGCAATGGGAGGAAAGCAGTTACAGGCTGCAGGAGAGCATGATATTTCTGTATTATTTACAGCCCAGGCAATGGCTCGTTCTGCCATGGGTAAATGAGTGGAAGGGATCGTTCCAGCAGTCATGGATGCTTTCTTGGAACGTAGCTGACTTTTCCAATTATTTTGGTTTTGCCTTCCACTTGCAGGACCAGTCTCTTTATAGTAGTTCTCGCAGGATGTTTCGTACTCTCAGCATGTTCACCAGCTTTAAACTGCCTGAAAGGGCTGCACCATGCAGTGTCACATCCCCTTCTCTTCCCCTCTCCCTTCTGTAAAACATGGGAGACCAGGGCAGGCTTCCCTTCTTCACCAGTTTGACACACAGCAGTCGTGGTGCTGTCATGGAAGTAGGGCTCGTGCAGCAGCGTGCTGGGCCAGCAGGAGGGAGTACAGCTGTGCTGTCTGAACAGAGGCTCCCAGCCTGGTTCTGGTGCTGGGTCTGCAGGGGCACCAGGAGCAAAGCCTGCCTTGGCTGTGTGCCTGCAGCTGGCACCAGGCACGTCCTGAAGGGCTCCAGCTCTGGTTGGCCCTGGGGATTTCATGGGAATAACAACTAACGTGGGGGAGAGAGATCTGGTTCACTGTCTGCCGGTGCATGTGCATATGGCAGGGGGGGAGAAACCCTTTTGCTAATTACCAGAGTTTCACAAAGCTTCATGGGCTGTGGTTCATGTTTTCCATGCATTACAAATGGAAACAAGCGGATACAGGAGGTTAAGAGACTTCACCTGTGAACAGAGCACAAGTTTGGAGCCAGAAAAGATTTTCGTTTAGAAAAGATCAAGGAGTTCTTGGCTTCCAGCCCTGCTCAGCCTCTGTTATGGAGAAAATGAATCTGTGCCCTGTAATTACAGTGTTCCTTTCTCTGCATGTTAGGTACAGAATGCTAGTGATTTGCTGATCAAACCTTTGGAAAATTTTCGGAAGGAGCAAATAGGGTTCACCAAGGTAAGACTTACTGATTTCTCTTGAATTCAAAGAGATTTGTTTTCTAGTGCTGTGTTTGAATTCCTTTCTCTTCCTGCTGTGTGCTGTTTTGTGAAAGCAGACAGTTGTTGCACCACATGTAGGCTGCATGCGTTCAGAATCTTCCTCGTCTGATGCTGGCGCTCAAATGCTGGGGTGACTTTTACTCTGATTTTTCAGTCATAAGAGGCTCCAAAACCTTTTCCTGAATTCTTTGGGTTCTCTTCTGGCATAATTCCAGCTCTGTCTCTGTCCTGAGTGAGGAATGCTTGTTTCAAAGCAGGGTTAAGAACTATTCCCTGCTTCTTTCCCTTTTCTCCCTTCTGTTCATTTAATGCTGAAAATGAAATGCTTTCCCCCCATAAATGTGTCCTGGAGTGAGGAGGGGGAGGACGAGCAGCAGAGGCCAGCAAGCAAAACTTGAGCACTTTTGTTATGAAATATTTAAGTAAAACTACTAATGAGTCTTTCAGATGGATGAAACTTTACAAGAAACAAACTGTAAAAATCAAATACTGTGCATGTTGAATAGGAAAGATTATTTTTCCCTTGTCTGCTATCAAGAAGTCCAGGTTCCACGTTACCCAGAGGCAGCTTGAAACGGAGCTGGCTCGGAACCAGCTCAGAAATGGAGATGTTTTGGAGAACACTTGGGGCTTGGATTCAGCCCAGCCCATCTGGAGCCTTTGACGTTGTATAAATACAGGATTTAAGAAATGGTACTCGATCACCATCCTGCCCTTCAGAATCCCCCCGTACAACTGCTGCGTTTGTAAAACGTGCCTCGGGGCAAGCACAGCAGTGGGAGCACGGTGGGGCAGCGCTGGCCATTGGGGTGGTTCACAGAGCACCTCCAGGCCTGGGGGCTGTGTGTCTGCACTGCAAACACAGGGGCTGAGAGAAGCCTCCCTCTGACTGCCCTGCCTGCATCAGCAGCGAGTGTTTACAGAGCCATTACAGAGCCACGGGAACGATTCGGGGGGACGAGGTCAAGCTTTTTCTCCCTTCATATTTATGCAGCACTTAAGTCAAGAGGGCAACAGCCTACAGATGTTAAGATGGCAGTGTTAATGTGGCTCTTAGGCTGCTTCTGCTTGGGCCAACCCTCTCCATGCCAGCGTCACTTTGCCTGTGACTCGGAGCTCTCCTCCAGAGCTGTGCCCCCTCCCCACCGCAGGAGGGCTCACGCAGGGTTCATGGCTCAGGGGCACATGGGTCTCAGGGGGCACACAGCGCTCAGGCTGCTCGTGCTCCCCCTCAAGGCCAGGGCAGGCAGGGCCCTCCCTCCATCCCCACGCCTGCCATGCCGTGGCCCCAGCCCTCCTGGGCCCGACAGCAGGAGGCCGGCAGCTGCCACGCAGACCGCAGATGTGGCGGGCATGGCCTGTGCCCTCTGATTCGCTTCCCACATTTTGGCCGAGGCGCCTTATGTGAGATGTTTTCTGTTCTTTGTGCGAGATGCTGAAGCCAGATAGGAAGAGAGTTTGAATCGAGTCTTTGTGATGACTGTGGCTGGAGAGAAGCCAGGCGGTCTGACTGAGACATCTGAGCCGACGTTAACCCGTTTTCCTGGGGATGAGCAGCTTCCCCCGCCATGTGCAGTGCTGGGCGGCTCTGGGTGTCAGCGGGACCTCGAGCCCTGCAGGCTGTGGGGCTGTCACTCCAGCTGTGAGTCGCTGGGTAAGTGTCTGTGCAGAAGAGCCAAGGACAGCCTGAGCTCACCCATTTCCCAGCCCTGGCCTCACACCTCGTTCTGCTCAAGACAAAGCAGCACGAAGAGAACGGCACGGGAAGGACACGGCTGGCATCGGAGGGGTGCAGGCTTTGGGTGAGGGAGGGCAAGCATGGGACGGCCTGCGTCCCCATTTCACATCAGGTCGTGTTCATGGAGCCTGCGCTCCACCTGTTTTATGAGCTCAGGGGATTTTGTGTTGTGCCACGTGCCATCTCCTCTTCATCAGAAGTTCTTTGAGTGCCAGGAGTGCTGGGTGAAGCAGTGATGCTGGAAAATGAGAAGATTTTGATGTGTGGCCTTAGTAGCGGGGATGGTGGAACTCTCAGTTATCAGAGAAGGAGGGGTCATTAGAGAGATGTTTGCTGCAGATGGAGAGATGGAGCTGTGAGTGGTTGTGGCCTGGAGCCACCAAAGGGGAGCCAATGCCTCCTGGCTGGGCAGGCTCTGTGCTGTGCCTCTCTTCACAGACAGCAAACAGACGATGGAGGGACATCCTGGTGAGTCCCCCTGTGCCCTCACTGCTCCCAAGGTGTGCAGCTTTGTGCTGGCTGCCTTTGGGTGGGATCATCTCTGCTATGAGCAGATCAAAGTAGGGTGGCTTCTTGGACTCAAGCGCTGGCAAGTCTCACTGGGGAGATAATGCTGCCCTTTGCTGAATATTCATGAGGAATCCATTTGTGCTCATCTTTCTGGATTGTGCTTCAGTCTGGCTGGTTCTTTTGTTGTGCTCTTTTTTTTTTTTCTTTTTTTCCCTTTTGTCTTGGCTTGCTCTGTTCAGCAGCCAACAAGCTCTTAGAAACCTTGGCTTGGAAATCAGGAGGGATTTGTAGTACATCCTCCTGCTTTTCAGTTGTATGTTAATTAGCCAGAGTGCAAGATGACTGGCTGCACACATGGCTGCTCCCACAGGGCTGCTGCTGTAGAAAAAGCTCTGCGTGGCCCCCAGGCCTCGTGGGCACCTCCCATCACAGCGTGGGGTCAGCACACCATCACCAGTGCATCTGTGTGTCAGCACACCATCACCAGGGCATCTGTGTCCTGCTGCTGGCATCGCCATCCTCCTGCCGTGCAACCATCTGCAAGCCTGCCGTGCTGCTCGTGGGCATGGGGTGCAGCTCTGGTTTAGCGCGTGTGCTACAAGACACCATGGGGCTCGTGACTCCTTGTTACCAAAATGAAAGTAATCTTATGTTCCTGGCTTTGTTAGACATGGCACCTGGTGGCACACAGTTCTGAGGTGTGACTTGACAGAAGTGGTATTTCCTGCTTCACGACAGATTTTGCGTCTGTCTGGCTTTGGATTTGCTTATCACCAGCATTAGCCATGGGGGTGCTGTTTTCTTCTGACTCTTTCCTGGTGTTGGCTCCTCAGCCCAGTGCTTCTCACGTTGGGTTTCACTCTTGGTGGACTCTTCTGGGTTTCATGGCTGTGTCTCCTTAGGCATCCATTAGCTAACAGAGTTAGGTGCACAGGGGGTGATACCAGAAGATACACCCAATCCTGGCCAGGGGTCTGATCGTCTCAGTGCATCTGCCATGCAGTAGGTGCAATTACAGGTAAAAGGGTGTGCTGGTCCCAGCCCACCCTACTCTGAGCTGCTGAATACTCAGGAATACTCAGCCTGGTGCCTCTGCAAGCGTTGCTGCGTTTTGCTAATTGTCAAATAGCAGTGTGCAAGGAATGGAGAAGCAGAACGCTTCTGGGGTGAGAATTCCTCTCCTGAGGAAGGCAGCCAGCAGCAGTGCTTGTCCAACCTTAGCCTGAGGTTGTTCTGAGGAGCTGGTGCCCACTGCCACGAGTCTGAGTGCTGGAGCCGAGCTGCTCCCCCACCAGGCTGCAGGGAGGCTGCCAGCCCTGGCCTGGCTGCTGGCTGTGAGTGCCTCTGCCCGGCCCTAACAGATGCCATCCACAGGGGATGAGGTGGGCAACCGTGTGCTGCCTCCCAGCGTGTGAAAGCTCCATATGCTCCACTAAACATCCGAGTGTGTGCTCGTGTGTGCCCACCAGAAAACAGCTCTTCTTCTAGAGGGAAGACAGCAGTAGCTGCTATGAGCAGATGGGCCCAGAAAACAGAGAGTTAGGCAAGGGCTGACTGCACAGAGATGCAGCACCAGCTGGGAGCCCCACGTGCCCACTGTGAAGGACACCTCATGTAATAGTCCATACAGGCAGAACAGGGAAGCAAAACTCCATGGCAGAACTAACCAAAGGAAGAAAAAGAACTTTATTTGAGAAGCACATCCCCAAACTCAAGCACTGCTGAATTCATGAGCAAACTGCCTAGTATTTAATGGCCTCTTTCAAGGTGGTGTTGGCATGTTTGCTGATATGGTGCAAGAGAACAGCATTTCAGGGCTTTTAGGAGTTAGCTGGGGGAAGATACCATTAATTCCACAATAGGCTGAGGTGTCCTAACTCTGCTTTCCACTTTCTGAGCCTTCAGAAGTTAGCCAGAGGGTTTGGGCATCCTCTGCATCCCCTGCAGGCAGCAGTCCTCAGCTGCTTGGGCCTGGCACCAGGGCTGCTGTGTGACTAAACACCCTTAATTTTAGTGATATGATTGCCTCTCAGCAGTCACTGGTGCTTCACTTTCTTTTGTGAATATTTTTTAACCTGGCTTCTGCTGATGATTGATTCTTCACTGTGGTCTCACAGTCACTGTAAGGCTTCAGCAAGCTGACAGTCCTCAGCTCAGCTTATCCCTGGGTGCCCTCGGGGCTTAATTCTCAATTTTCTCTTTCTGTTCTTGTTCCAGACATTTACCTTTTAAGATTTGTCCATACAAGCAAATCTTTTTGTTGTAGTGCTTCCTTCATAGAGTCTTCCTTAACAAATCAGTTCACACTTCACGTTTGCATGCCTGTGCTTTGCATGTTTGAGATGTAAAACAGGTCAGCAGGAACCAGACCATCAGCAGCAGACTGCAGCAGAAGTGGAGTCGGATCGCTGTTGGTTGTAATGTTGGGTGCAGCATTTGGGCTGTGTTCAGGCTGAACACACACTGAAATTTCTGTGAGTTTTGACCCTGTGGTTTGTGATCTGTGTTTCCAGCACAGCTAATGAAGAGACGATGACTTCACCCCCACGTGTCACCCATCTCGTCTTCTGCTTTCGTTCTCATGCTGTTCAGAAACACATGATAAAAGCTTCAGAATGGAAAATTGCCAGGCTCCTCATAAATCTTTTCTTTCCTGGGCATGTCTTTGGGATGAAAGTGCTTACCCAGTTGTTTCTGAATGAAGTGAGCAGCACAAGAGCAGATTGTGAACATGTTTTTGATGGTTAGGGCATCTCAAGTTTACTTGACACTGCAGTGATTGAGGAGGGGAACAGTAACTCTTCTATGGGGCTTTCGCCACAGTGTTGACGTGAGAAAATATTTTGAGTATCTGTGCCATAAGATCTTGCCAGAGCTTGGTCACAAAGTATAACTGAATCCAATGTAAGCAAATACCTGGGGAAAGCAGCTGGATGAAAAGCGACCTTCTGTTCTGATTCCACCAGAATTTTTCCGTGTGAACATTGAATGGCACTGAGGATCTTGTTACTGTAGCACGTTCTTATGTGAAAGATACAATAACTGGTCCTGCTTCAACTCTTGCATCTACAGGAAAGAAAGAAGAAGTTTGAGAAGGATGGTGAGAAGTTTTATTCCATGCTGGATCGCCATTTGCACCTCTCCTCTAAAAAGAAGGAGTCTCAGTTACAGGAGGTGTGTATGGAGTTTTCTTCAGTCAAGTCTAGAAGTATCTCCAGAATATACCTAAAGCCCATTCACATGGGTGAGGGCAGGGATACGGACGTGGCAGTTCACATTGGAGTGCTGGGCAGCAGTTGTGGCTTCATGCGCTGCTGTCACAGGCAGCAGGGCAGTGGCAGAAGGCTTTGAGCTGCTTCTGCCAAATGTTCTGCAGCTGGAAGGGAAAGTCCCAGCCCATGTCAGGGTGGTTGGATCAAATCAGATGTGTCTGATCAAGTTACAAACACCTCTGCAAAGCAGAGTTTGTATAAGGTGTGGTAACACAGCGTGCCAGTGTCCTCCCTTGTGCTGCAGCTCTGGAATTGCTGGTTTCAGGTCCTGGCAGAATTCAGGAGGGCTCAGGACACTGCTGTCCTCACCAACAGGGCTGTGGGTGGAGAAGGAGCTTGTGTTAGAATAACAAACGTGCTTAGGGAAAGCACAGTCCTTACTGCATGGTGCAAAGTTCTGATCTGTTAATGAGAAGGGCAGATCTGAGAACAACAAGTGTTCGAGTCTTGTGATTCTGTGCCAGCGTTCAAAACTGGAGCCAAACACACAGGGCAGGCATTGCCTGAAGTGAGGGCACAACTACTTCTGGGCTGAGAGACAGATGCTAGTCAAATATTGGATGGATGCGATTTATTTTTTTCTACCTACTTGCCCTTTTTCTTTCAGGCTGACCTTCAGGTTGACAAAGAGAGGCACAATTTCTTTGAGTCCTCCCTTGAGTATGTGTACCAGATCCAGGAAGTACAAGAGAGCAAGAAATTCAGTATTGTTGAACCGGTAGGAGCTCCCTTCACTTCAGCAGCTGTTGTTGGATGCTCAGGTGTGCTGACTTAGTGACAGTCACAGAAAGCAGTGAGCTACCAGACTGAATTCAGGCCTGGGGATTCTCATGGTGGAACAGGAGTTGGACGCTGGGGCTGCTGCTGCTCCGGTGGTGTTTGATGGATGACTGTGAAGCCACAGACTTGTTTCTCAGGTCTGTCTGTCCATCCTGAGGGCAGGCCAGTAGCACGCTGCAGGTGGGACTTGTTATTAATTGTCTTGGGCACCTTGTGTTTGGTAAGCAGCAGCAGCCTTCTGAGGTCTGCTTCTCTGTTGGCCCAGGCTGTGTGCAGGGCCCTGCCGTGGTGCTGCTCGTGCAGACAAGCTCTCTCTGAGGGTCAGCTTCTGCTTCCCAAACAGCGCCTTTCATTTGGGTTGTGTTTTACCAAGGCAGTATATTTGTGGGAGACAGAGCTAGGTATTAGAGATGCTGTGGTCAGTAAGTCAATTCACATCCCTCCAAAACTGCAAGAAATGTATTTGTGTATATAATTTCTCAAAGCCTGCATCCTGCCGAACTTTCCTCTGATTAGAAACTTCAGAAGATAAGTTTAGTCTGTGTCCTTTCCCTCCTTTGCAGGTGCTGGCTTTTCTCCACAGCCTCTTTACATACAACAACCTGACGGTTGAGCTCACGCAGGATTTCCTCCCTTACAAGCAGCAGCTCCAGCTCAGCCTGCAGAATGTACGTCCTGCCCAGCTGGAATGTGGTTTTTTTCATGTGACTTCTATTCTCATTTGGGTTTATAACTTTTTGAAACTATTTGCCATGCAAAATACACTCTATGGTTGCACTGTGGGAAATGCAGAGACAGTTATTTCCTCCTTAGTTCACGTGTATCATCTGCTTTCCTGCACAGGAGAGTCTGCAAGTGCTGTGACAGTGCTTTTCAGAAACCCCAGGTTCTGTCCAGAGGAGGCTGTCAGCATCGCGTCGTTTAACCTTGTGCATAAACTAGCCTAAGAATTCCTTCCAATTTCATTAGATTTAAGTTGTATATTCTAAAAAGGCCTTAGATTTTCATGTTAATGATACCAGCTTGCTGAATGCTTTGGTAACCTCCTCTGCTGACCAAGTATAGTCATGAGCTGAAGGATCTTTGTCACAGCCCTTTATCCTCGCACTCTTATGGCTTGCCCTCATTCCCATGGAGCAGCAGCCATAAGGCCAGCTTTGCTGCTGGCTTATTAATTGGTCTGAGTGGTGTTCTGTAAAGATGCCTTCAGTTTGTACCCTGCACTGACACAACTCCTTAGAATTCACGCCAAGCAGTGCAGGATGATCTTTTGAGGAATCAGCACCCTAAGTTTGTAGGAGAATGCACCCGTTACCCAAGGGGCAGTGCAGAGCGTTCTGGTGCTTCCTCCTCCTCCACCCAGCCTTAAGAAGTGCCGAGATTTTTGCACTGAAAGAAAAGTGTCCTCCCAGTGATGACTCTTCGCTGCTGTTTCAATGTACGATATGTCAAACCTTGTCCCTTCAACCATCTTTGGAAGTCCCCTGTTCTTACAGCTTCAGCTTTCATGTGAATTTGTGGAGCTGGGGACAGATTCTTTCTGCCAGAGTACCTAAAGTTTGAGGCTGAAGTTTTGATCAGAAATACATGACTTTTTTCTTGTTCAGACATACCTCTTTGTGTGTTCCCCTGCCAGACAAGGAACCACTTTTCCAGCACGCGGGAGGAGCTGGAAGACCTGAAGAAAAGGATGAAGGAAGCCCCCCTGACGTGCAAGCTCCCTGGGCAGCCAACCATCGAGGGCTATCTGTACACTCAGGAGAAATGTAATGGTTTCGTCTGCACTAAACATGTTGCAGGGGCACTGAGCCCTGCTGCCAGGGCTGTGCTCAGCTCCCCACCCATGGGGAGTCCGTGGGCTGTGCCCCGTGCTGGCTGAGGAGTTGCAGCTGACAGCTTTCCTGGTGGTGGCACAGGCTGTGCCAGCCACGTAAACGAGGAGCTGATTGCCCACGTTGGGAAAAAATGACGTCCTTGATTCCATTGTAGCCAGAGAGCCGGAGCTCTGGCAGATTGCTCCTTGTCTGCAGTTCGTCAGAATGAACATGCTGTCCTGTGCAGCTTCCCCTCTCTGATAAGGATTTCATTTATAGCCCACCTCAGTGTGCAGCTCTGGGCTGATTGCAGGGCTGCTGCTATAGTTTTTTGTACTGCACTGCTTGCTTCTGTTCAGGTCCCTTCAGCGTGACATGCTGGATGCTGAATTGTTGCTGTTTACTGTCCTGTGTAGCTCAGCTCAGGTGAAGTGCATGCCCTTGCAGACAGTCAGCTCTGCTGGTGCAGGTTTCACAGAGCCACGGGCCTTTGGTCCCCACATTTTCTGCAGCCGTTTTCTATTCCTGGTCCAGGCATCAAAAAGGCACTGGGAGGCTGACCCTGGTTGTCCCCAAAAGTCAGTCTGGGCATCAGAAAGGTGCCACCTTCTGCACTGCACATATATGTAGTGGCTCAGACAGGGCTCTGAGTGCACGTGAGCAGAGCTGAAGTGCTGTGTGGTGATGAAGGTTAGCTGCTGGCAGCAAGAGTTGTGATTCTGTACTGAATTCAACCAAATTCATCTCTTACCAATACTCATTGGTTGTGCAAGCATGAACACTCAAGGGACAGAAGCCTGCATGGCCTCTTGAGTCAACAGATAACTTATTCTGTGAGCAGTTAACTTTTTCATTATATACACAGACGTACTTATATATAGATATTTCTGTCCTTAACCTGTACTGAAGGACTGCTGCTTCTGTGTTCCCACAGGGGCACTGGGCATCTCCTGGGTGAAGTATTATTGCCAGTACGAAAAAGAGGCGAAAACCTTAAGAATGACCCCCATGGACCAGAAGCCTGGTGCTAAGCAGGTGAGTGCTTTCATGGCCCAGTGCCTAGCTTTTACTTTCAGTCAGTCTGTTCCATCTCCTTCTGTAAGCAGAGATAGCACAGCTAGAGCAGAGCCCTCCAGACGGGGCTGGAAGCTGTGTGTGTCTGTACGACTTCTGTATGTCCCATGCAGACGGGCTGTGAGCCTGCAGCCTGGCGTGCACACAGCTGCCTGCAGTCGCTAGCTGAGCACTTCTAAAAGCACTCTTTCTTTCCCTTTGCATATTTGCACTGTCACTGATTTGCAATTTTGATTTCTATTTACTTGTAAGGATACGGTTAGGAGAGGAGGAGAGGGCCGAAGTTGCTGCTCTGAGCAGTAGAGTACAGCAGCAGCTGAAGAACCCAATTCTTTCACGCCGTACTTCATTTTTCACCAGCAAGGGATGTGTCTGGGAGTTCCCCACAGCTCCTGCAGTGCAAGGGAAGGGGCAGGGCGCTTGGATGGGGCCGTGGCTCTGAGCACTGCCTCTGCCATGGAGCAGCATCCCCTGGGAGCCTCGAGTCATGTGTGCTCTCTGCAGAGTGCGAGCTCATGGGCTGTGTTCTTTGGCAGCCTTCAGTGCAGTGCAGCAATCAAGTGAAATTGTGGGTTTTGGAAGCCCTTGGCAGAGGGCAAAGGAAAGTCCAAACTATGCACTGGAGGCATCTATTGTCATGTGTGCTGTAAGCATATTTGCTGAGGCCTCTTGCTGCAGGTCGGGGTTTAACTTGGATTCCTCCCTTCCAGCTTCTTGCAGTCTAGCAGTTTGCACCTCCAGGTCACAGCTGACTGCATCTTCAAGTGCCCCAACAACAAAGAGTGCTCTTTAAAACCAAACAAAACCAAGTGAGGGGCCGCACTCAGCACAGCCACCAGATGGACGTGGCCGTGCACAGAGCAGACACAGTCTGGAGCGGGCTGCCCATTCTGTGGGGCTCTCCTGACTCTGCTCATCCATGTGGGTCAGAGGCTGTGGGCACTGGCACTGATGGGGGTGGCAGTGCTTCCTTCATTTTGAGGTTCACATCCACCACAAAGTGCTGCCAGCACATGGCTGTGCCCAGGGCCTCACTGTGCAGCATCAGCTGGGCTGAGGACTAAGGGTGCTGAAGAACGTTCCATCCTCTCCAATGGTTCTCTTTCCTGAGCTTGGCTTCAACTTTCTTTTCCAGGGTACCTTGGACCTGACACTGAAATCCTGTGTAAGGAGAAAGACTGACTCAATAGACAAAAGGTTTTGTTTTGACATTGAAACTAATGAAAGGTGAGATGCTTCGAATTTAAGTGGTCTCCAGGAAGATCAGCCCTATAATATTGGAGAAATGCTGTTTGTTAAAAACTGATCGTTGCTCCATGTTTTCTTTCTGCCTCTGGGTAACTGCACAGGTCTGGGACCATCACTCTGCAGGCACTCTCTGAAGCTAACCGAAGGCTGTGGATGGAAGCCATGGATGGAAAGGAGCCGGTGAGTGTTCCAAGTTCGTGGATGTGCTGTCGTGCAGTGTCCTCTGCTGGTGGGAGGAAGATCAGTAAAAATTGGCAGGCTCAGTTTCACAGATCTCTCTTCAGTTGCTCACCTGTAACTCAAGCCATCAGTTCCGTCACACACTTGGAATTGGATTTTGCGCTGTCTGATCTCAGCACAGCTTGCAGAGGGAATGCTGGCTTCCCCCCTTGTAAGCTTTGGTACGTTTTCTATTTAACTGCAATTGTCAGACTTCCTAAAAACTGTGACATCACAGCGTCTGAAACAAGCAGCATTCTGTTGAACTCACTCCCAAATCTGCATGACAGCGTTTTTATTCATACCTGCTTTCAGCAGTGTTTGCAAAGGCTGGGAGCAGCCGCCCTGCAGAGCTTCAGCAGCGTTCCTGGCTGCTGTTATTTCCTTCCTTTAATGTGAGCAAAGCATGAATTCCTGCATTTTACTGAACTTCCTGTGGTGTGATTTGCACTGTGGGGAAACACATTGCCTGTGGTTTCCCCCTGGTTTTTGCGAGCCTTTCCCTAGGACAGGCTGGCAGAGGCTGCACGCTGCCCTGCTGCTGGGGCTGAGTGCTGGCTGCTGGGGCTGTGGGACGTGGGAGCAGGAGGTGGGATGTGGGCACCCCCAGCATTGCTGTGTGCCTGATGCTTTGGGCAGAAAGCAGCCTGGAATGAGAGGGAGGGTGGGTGTGCTCAGAGGGCAGCCATTCGCTGAGCAGGTGTCTGATGCTCACTCATTTTACGCACTCACTTGTGTACAAAGGAGTTTTTATTTTCTATCAAGAATATAATCTACTGTTTGTTCTTCCTAAAATAAGTACAAAAGGCGTTTTTGTACGTGGTGAAGAAGGAATGTCTTGACATCTGAAGTAATCTTATTATAAAGCACAAACAAGCAGAAGACCTCTGTGTGCCAGACTGTCCATCTGCACAGGACACCTGCAGGACAAGTGGGAGTTCTCATTCCGTGTTTGGAAGATTTGAAATTGAAAGAGGTGCTCCAGTGAACTGTAGGAAGTCAGCAAGCTCATTTATTCCATAGGCAATGGCATCTCGCTTAATTGTGAGCTGACTTCCCTTGGACACAGTCTTGCTCTTGGCGATGAATTAGGGGGGGCTGCATTTTCTGTTGAAATGATGCACCAAATGGTGTTGCATTATGTTTGTTTCTTTCTCCACCCCATTCCCTTTTTCAGATCTATCACAGTCCCATCACGAAGCAGGAAGAGAGTGAGTTATTTCCATTTTTATTCCTCTGATATATTGAAGCTGTCCTGAGACCAGGCAGTGCCTTTCCCTGCATACATCTCATCTTTGGTTTCTGAAGTGGGCAGTGTAATTCCCAGAATGTGTCATTTCTTTCTTTTCCTGATGGTGCCTGATACCACAGGCAGGTAATGGCGAGCCTCCTCAGTCAAGGTACTGACAGCAGCGTGCAGAGGGTGCAGAGCTCCATGTGTACCTATAGGCCCCAGAGCAGCAGCAGGAGAGATTGGTGAGGGCACTGAGGACACCTTCCATGAGGGAGGCTGTGGCAGGACCCAGGGTGGGATGCAGCTCCTTGGCTGCCCGTGCTGCTGTCACCACAGTGTCCCCCATTGGTGCACAGTGCTTCATGGGCTGAGTGCAGGCGGGCTCTTGGGGCTTAGGGCCTGCTGTTATCAGCACTTGATTGGCTTACTTGAATTATCTTAGAGTTAGTGTTATCAGAGGCATAAGCCCTAAACCAAACATTACCTCAAAGTCAACATTTTCAGCCAAAATTAAGTTTGAAACCCAGGTAAAGTGGGACTGATTTTGAACCATGGAAGTTTGAATGCAGATTTTTCAGCTAGAATTTCGTACTCTAGAAAGCTGTCTTCCCAGTCAGCTGAATCATACGAGTAAGAAGTTACAGTGCATCTATAATTGATAACTGCCTCTTTCACAGTGCCTTAAGACAGGCACTGATCAGCTGGAGCCAAACCTGTGTTCTGCTTTACTCAGGCAGCACGTGAAGCTGCTTTTTGTAGTTTTCACTTTTGGCTTTTTGATCTAATCAAGTAGAGAAGTGGAATTGGCATGATCTTATCACGTAGAAGAGTTGTAATGGCAGATATTTGGAAAATGATTACTCAACTCATTCCAAGCCACAGATCCACACAAGGCAGAACTGTGAACCAGGCTTCTCAGAGGCAGGGAGGGGGCAGGGGGGTGCTGGAGCTCAAAAGAAATCCAACAAACACTGAATAATTCCTCAGCAAAATTTGTTCCATAGAAGCACAGCCAGCTGTGTGCTGGGGCTGTGGGGTGCACAGGGCTTCTGTAGGGACCACACATGAGGTTCTGGCAGCTGAGACCTCTTGCTTTGTTTTAACAGTGGAGCTGAATGAGGTTGGCTTCAAGTTTGTGCGGAAGTGCATCAATGCTGTGGAGACAAAAGGTAAGGAGCCCATGGTGGCATCTGAGTGCAGGTTGGGTGCAGGCTGTCCGTGCAGCACACAGCTGGGTATCTGGGTGCAGGCTCCAGCAGATGGTGCTTTTGGACAGGTTGTGGCTAACCCCGCTCTTGTTGTTCTCAGGAATTTCTACAGAGGGCGTCTACCGAACTGTTGGCAGCAATATTCAGGTGCAGAAATTGCTGAATGCCTTTTTTGGTAAGAATTGATTATTCCATGTGGTTAGATTGTGGTGTTTTGGTATTGTTTGGTCAGGCCAAGGAGAATGGGCTTTTACAACGAGATGAGTCAATGGAAAGCAGCTACTGGCTCCTCCAGCACCTCTCCTGCTTTTCGGAGCCGTCTCTGCAGCCCACTCCCGCTCTCTCCCTTCACACTGCGTTGACTGTGGGTGCTGGAAGCAGCAGGAGGTGATGGCAGCAGTGGGGGTGTGCCTTCCCCCCTTCCTCTTGCAGCAGCCCCAGCAGATGGGCAGTGTGAAGGCTCTTCTCCAAATCACTGCCCCCCATGTGGCAGGGACAGCCCTGGTGCTGCTGCGCTGGGTGCCCACCCACCTCACCAGCACTGCTGGGATGCACTGCCTGGGCAGCGCAGGGACCTGCCATGCCCTCCTGAGGGGCTGCAGGAAGGTGGTTATTTTCACGGACCAGTCAGCATACGTACTTCTGTAGCAAACTTTCTGCACCCTAAATCTTGCGTTTCATTCAGGCACATTAATTGCTGGGTGCTTGTCACACCTGGGATCAGTGGTGCCTGGGGCTCAGCAGCACTTCTCCAAGCTGGGCACTCCTGGGGTCTGCCCGGAGCTGTGGCTGCTGTCCTCCCTGTGCCCCGTGCACCACTGCTGGCAGGGCTGCAGCACAGAGCAGGAAGTGTGTTTGTGTTCTATCTGTGTGCCTCGGGCACATGCCAGCCTCTGTCAGCTCCGTGTGCGGACATCTGATATTAATGTAGCATTCAAAGGCTGTTTTTGCATTTACTATTGTTGTTGTTTATTATAACTTCTTTGTGCTGACACGAAGCTGTTCTCAGTTCCCATGGAGCCAGCTATTCAGTTACACTTGCCTGATGACTAATTACTTAGCCTCAGGTTTTATTGCTCCTGGATTCTCACCCTCCTTGCAAGCAGCGCTGTGTTTTTCCCTTCTGACCCCCAGCTGTGTGTGGCTTTTCATTTTGTTTAATATTCACCACTCGGGTTGACCACTTGCCACCCTGCTGTGTTCAACTCACCATCCAAAACCCAACAACACTGAGCAGAAATAGCTGCTGCAGAGCAAATTCTTCCTGATTTTGAGTGAGGAGGCAGATTTTCTGTCTCTAGTCCTATTTCTTTTTATTTAAGTCATGCAGTCTGTTTCCGTAGGCCAGCTGCCCCCTCCACCCATGCCCTTCAGCTTGCCCTACCACAAAGCAATGGGTTGGTCATGCAGCTGGATGGAACATGAGGGGTGTGTGCTTGGCTTTGCCTTCTCCTCCTGCCCCCTCCTCCCCATGCAGTGAGGCGAAATGCTCCCAGAGCAGTTGCTGGGGAGTCCTTGGGGTGAGGGACTGGAGCAGACACTTGGGTTATTTGGGTACACAAAGACTGATCTTGGGTCTGTGGGAATGCACTGTTTCTGCCAGCCTTGACTAGAAGAAAACAAACTGCAGGGAATGTGTCCTTGCTAACTGTTCTCCACCAAATATTACCTGCTGCTTCTTCCTTTGCCCCTGGTCAGCACTGATGTTTTCATCCAGAGTAACAGCCTCTCTGCCACTAGCACTGTTGTTCTCCTTTTCCACCTTTGGGAATGGCCACCTGCTGCTCTAGCTTAGTTCATCTCGAGTGGTGCCCTCTCTGAATTTGTTTTTTATAACAGCCTCAAAGTGGATCTTATTTTATAGCCATTTTGTTCTTCCTCCAGATCCAAAATGCCCAGGGGATGTGGACCTCCAAAGCAGTGACTGGGACATTAAGACCATTACCAGCTCACTAAAGTTTTACCTCAGGTAATGCTGCACATCCCACTGCTCTGGGCAGTCTGGGTGCAAAGAGAACTGCCAGGTGTGAGCATCCGGCCAAAGGAAAGGGGAAAGAAGCAGCAGAGGCATTGGAAAAGGGAATGCATCCTTTTTCCTTTTCTCTTTATGAGAAATATGCCTGTTGTGGCAATGCCACATCCTGCAGCGCGTCTGGGGAGGTGCCACCGGGAACCAGCAGGCTGGTGGGTGAGCAGATTTGCTCCCGACCTTGGAGATCAGTCATGAGGCCACACTGCCCTCCCAGAGCTCAGTTTTCTGTCTGGTTGTTGCAGGAACCTGTCGGAGCCCGTCATGACGTACAAGCTGCACAAGGAGTTGGTTCTGGCTGCTAGTAAGTACAGGCCCCAGCCTGATGCCTCACAGCAACAGAGGCAGCTCCCTGTGCTGATCCCTGCAGGGCACAGAGGGCTCTGGAGGCATCCATGGCTCCAGCACCCCTGGGTGGGCACTGGGGCTCCGTCTGCTCCCAGGAGGAGCCACACGAGTGTCTGCAGAGGGGCCCGAGGCAAACACACCGTGACATCGATTTCGTGGGGTCAGAGCGCTGCAGTGTGCCTGCCTGGTGTGACCGTGCTCAGAGCCAGTGTGCATTTCAAATGGCTTGAGAGAGCTCTGCCAGGCTGCACCTGGGGATCTGCCTCTTGCCACCAGCCCTCTCTTCTGGGTCCTTAATTTTGAGAGGAAGATGATGGAAGTATTTCTTCCCTTCTTTTCCATGCTATTGCAGTACACTTCTCTGTGACAGGGCTTCATCCTTCCAGGGGGTCTGGAGGGCCAGGACGTGCCAACTAACCTGAAAGCAGATGATCACAAGTGCTCTAGAGTTGTTTCTCAAAAGAATCAAGATATTTATTTTAAAAGCAGTGAGGGAATGCGATGTGATGTTGCCAAGCAGAGTTAGGTGATCCTTTTAGTTCATGAGATTTGGCCCGGGATGTTGAATCCAAAGCATCTACTGGTACAAGAAGTGTGTTTTCATTCTGCACTTCTCAGGACTGAGTCGCAGCCAACAGTAACAGAGGTTAGTCAAGTAGCATAGGTAAGCCAACAGGACGTAGCCTGTGCTAACCCAGCCAGTCCTCAGCTGTCCTGTGATTACGACTCTTTCAAATAATCCATCATATTCTGAGCTGGCTGCATCTCGGGCTGCTGAGAGCCAGCACACTGAGGTGGGTCGCAGGGGGATGCAGGGAGTTAGTCATCCTCTCAGCATGAAAGTGCTGGCATTTCGTGGCACGCTCAGAAACATTTTGTATGGAGGCGTCCTTCGCAGCCCTGTGTCTCCTTGGAGTCAGTAGGAGGCCAGCAGACATCCCCGCCTCTCCTCACTTTGGACCCCTGGAAAATTACTAACACTTCTTGTTTCTTGTAAAGGAAAATTTTGCACCACCCACTGGCTGTGCTCGAGCCCAAGATTTATCAGTTTCAGCGTTGATTAAACCAATGGTGGCTGAGTATGTGCAAAATCCCTTCCTTTCCTCCGTCAGAACTTGCACCATTAAGCTTCCCAGCCACCGAGATCCCACACTATTCTTTTCACATGGAGTATTTGATTGTTTCTTGATTATTTATGTGTCTGAAAGTGACCTCTTTGGGTCAAGGACTCCATTTTTTCCGCAGTTCATTTTCTCATGTTGTTGTGTTGCAGCTTTCTGGGCCAAGGAGATGCCCAGCAAATGGGCCGTGGGGTTCCCCTGGTGCAGTGTGAAGGGCAGGACCTGGCCATGCCCAGCCCATCCCTGTGCTCAGAGAAGAGCTGGCCCTGCGCTCCCTTTCAAGCTTCATTTCTCCCTCTTTCCATTTCGCTTTGTTTCTCACAATCATTACCCTGTTGCTATGTAATCTCATTTTCTTTCTGCTTCCCATCACTGGCTTTGGCCAACCAGCCCTGTGTTGCAGATGGAACGGCTCCCACGGATTTTGTTTGGCTTTACTTTTCTTTGATTGTATTTACTTTGAAAGGCACAAACTTTTCTCTGTGTTACTTCTCTCCAGAATCTGAGAACCTGGACTACAGGCTGGGAGCCATTCATGCCCTGGTCTATAAACTACCTGACAAGAACAGAGAGATGTTAGAGCTCCTCATACGACACCTAGTCAAGTAAGCAGATGTTTTTCTCTAAAGCCAAACTAAGAGGAATAGTGGAATCAGCAGAGCAAGCCTTTTCTTGTGGCAGGTTTGTAAAACTGCATCCACCACTGTCCCCCCGGGAATTTACGTTCTGACTGCACGAGTGGTGTGATGAGCCCTGCTACCCTCTGCACTAAGTGATGCTCCTCTTTCTGCTTGCTGCTTCCATTCCCTTCCTGACAAGCAAGGAGCAATTCTAACATGGAAGCACCATCTGAGAGAGCAGAGCTGTAAACATGTCGCCTCTCAGTCCAGTAAACAAGAACATGAGGTCTGGGGTTCAGAACAGCATAAGACCTGTGCCTCTGATCTGCATGTGAACAGCGCTTTGGTTTTATCTGCAGCTCAATGGCCTGAGCCCTTAGAGCAGCACGAAGGCTTCAGCATACAGGTGAGCTGGCAGTGGGTGCTTGGTGGTGCTGGGCAGCTTCTGCTTGCTTCTGCCAACGAGTAACTGAAAGCATCACTTCCTTGATGGTGATGGCACCGTGCTGAGAAGAAGGGAATCTTCCTGTTTTGTCATCACACCGAATGGGAAGGCTTGGTACAGAAATTCTGCCTTCTCCACCCCATGGGGGAGGGCTGTGCAGCAACTTGTGCGTGGGTCAGGAAGGAGCAGGACTTACAGAAGCAATGGCTGCCGAGTGAAAAGGTTCACTTTGGGTCCTTGGAGAAGCCTTTTCCAAGGCTGGACTGCTGCAAAAATAAACGGCCCTGGGATTTCCACATCCTCCCACCCAATGCTGAGCTCTTGGTGCTGTGCCCTCTGTCGGGTGAGGAGTGCAGGTGATGGGGTCCTGCTGCAGCCTGCTTCCAGCCCTTCATGCTTGTTTGTGTGTTTTTGAAGCCTCTCTGTGTATGTGGCACAATGAGAGCACCTGCCTTGCAGTCTGATAAAGCTAACACTGGAATGGTGGTGGTGGTGACATTTATTCTTCAAAGTGCTTACGCTTAAATTCCGTTCCTTACCTCCTTTGCGCTCACAGAAGCCTCTCTAAGGAAAGCTACAGTATAAGGAATTCATTAAATCTCAGCATCAGAGCCTCTCTCCTTTGGCATTCAGAGCTCAGGCTGGCTGCTTTTGAAAACACAGAGTGTCCATCCAGTGGTTAATGCTTCAGTCAGTGACTGGTGCACTCTGCAGGCTCGTGTGCTCCTCCCAGGCTGAATAGAGAGAGCTCTGTTCTTTGAAACTGGGCCTCTTTCAGAAAGGAAGATGCTGTGGAAGTTTATGAAACTCTCCAGTGGCCTCCCTGTATTCAGAGAGAGAGAAAAATAAAAGCCAGCAGTCAGTTTGGGATTGTACCATCAATGGGTGTACAGTGGTCAGGCTTAGTAAGATTGTCACCAGTGTCGTTGGCTCACAGTAATCTCCCAAGGAGGGATCTCCAGCAGGGATCCTTCCCCCTGGCAGTCAGCCCTTAAATGGCTCTGGGAGAGGCGCAGCCAGGCTCCATCCCTTCCGGCAGCACAGGAGAATTGCCTTCACCTGTGCTCCAGGGCTGACTCAGTGCTCGCCTCAGGTGGTCAATCAGAGCTTCAGGCTGTGATCAACAGTTCCCAGGCAGGGATAAATGATATTCCAAGTGAAATGATTCCTTTTGTGTGTGTGTTGCACAGGTGGCTTTTGTGTGCAGAATTAGGAACCGGACGTCAGAAGGGATGGAGCAGAGCTGCTGTCAGCACGTTGCTCTCCCACAGTGGTCCTGGCTGAAGATGGTGCACATCGCAGCACAGCACAGAGACCTCGGGTCTCTGCCGGGGTGGGAAACAAATTCTGATGAAACAAAATGAGGAGAAATGAACAGCTGATTCTTGTTGCATCTTCTTAATTTCTTAGAATAAGATCCTTTTGGAAACATTAAAGAAATGACAGACGATTCCTTCTCTCTCACCTCTCCGCAGCGTGTGTGAGCACAGCCGAGAGAACCTGATGTCACCATCCAACATGGGGGTGATATTCGGACCGACCCTCATGCGGGCACAGGAGGACACCGTGGCAGCAATGATGAACATCAAATTCCAGAACATTGTGGTTGAGATTCTCATCGAGCACTTTGGGAAGGTATGGGGCTGTGCCACCACTCCTCACCTCCATGCCAGCTGTTGCTGTGGCAACGACTTGGAGTTTGGCTCTTTCTTTTGTGGTCTCCTTAAGGGGTGGCATTTTTCCTTTACAATACGCTGTTCTGAAATGCTTCACAGGGAAACAAGCAGCATAGCAGACATTCCTCACTATTGCCTATAGTTCTGCCTGTAGGAAAACTCTGAGTCTAACTGGGTTTTCTGCTTTTCTTTTTAAATAAGATAAGCATCTGTGTTGAAAGTGCTGTATTGAAAGCGTCTGTATTGAAAGTGTCCTCTCTACCTGGAGGTGACAGGACATGATGCTTTCTTGTTCTGAAGCCAGGAGATAGAGTACAGCATAACCGCTAGGGACAGGCATGATGCAAGACATGGCACTGCCTGCCATTACAACAGGAAAAATAACAAAGCAACCAAGTATGGAAAGATGGATAAAAATGATCCCTTGTGCATAGGGCTGTGCAGACACAGGTGTGGGGTTGGGGAGGGATCTGCTGCTGGGGCTGAGCTGTTAGAGGCAGGTTCAGCGCCCAGCTCGTGCCCGCAGCGCTGTGCTTCAGGTTCCTAAGCATGAATTTGGTCCTTCATAGCACATTAAATTATAGTGTGGGAAGGATCCCCTATGTCCTGAAGGAAGGAGAAGTTTGATGGCATCTGCGAGTGATGGCAGGGGATGGGAGGAGGGGAATGTCCTGCTGGGGGAGCGGATGAGGAGGCCAGAGCTGAAGGAGCAGGGCTGTGCAAAAGTGAACGTGGAGTCAGAGACCAAACAGGGGCCAAAAGGATGGCGTGAGTTGTGATGCCAAGGGTTGAAATCAGAAAGGTGGGATGAAAGAGCTCAGAGGGACTTAAGAGTATCCTCACACAAAGCTCATGAAGATCTGCTTTCTTCGCGGGTTCCTACGAATGCTTTCAAGTTCTCGTGGCAGGGCTTCATTGCTGCGATGCTCGGTGCTCACTCCCAGCTCAGCCTCTGTTGTCACTCTGGTGCCACCTCTGCTCAGGCTGAGTCAACACGCGGTTCGCACTGCTGCCTCCAAGAAATGGAATTCAACCTTTAATTAAGCCAGACATCTCTCTGCTTGCTTTTAATTTCTTCGGCAATAAGGTGAAATTAGTAGCAGTTATTAGATGGAGTGTGTAAGTTCATTGTTGGAGCTGAAAGTGTCTTCAGCTCACACATATGCAAACACTTCAAATGAGCCTGGAGGAAGAGAAATATTACTTAGGCAGTGCAATATGAAGGCTAAGGACAAAGTAACTACTCACGAAGTCTTTGGGGATAATTACTCTTTCTTCAGTTTATATATCAGTGCGACAGCTAAATTAAATCAGTCGATCCCTGTGGAAATGCCTCTTCGCTGTACAAATGTTCTAAACGCGAGGATCTGTCAATATCTTTGTACCTTCCAGTTGTTTAACTTGGATTTTTGTTTGAAAGGCAGAATCAAAGGAGAAGCCGCACTCGCATCTTAAAAAGAGCAGTGTGGTGGGGCTTGAGAGTGGCTTCAAGCTGTTGAAAAGCATCTCATGAAAGCAGAGGTCTGTGGTACTTCTGTAGGCACCAGGGAGCAGCAGGCGGTGCCATCCCCACTGCCCAGACCTTGGGAGGGAGAAGGTTTGAGAGCTCAGGGGCTCGTGATTTTCTCCAGCATTTCTGTGTGCCTGGCAGAAGGAGAAACGTGCTTTAAGTTACAAAGATGACATCCTTAATCAAATCAGGACGTCCTTTTGGAATTTGTCTGAGGGACAGATATCTGTGGGTTCCTCCGTACCAGAGGATTTGCCGAAGGGGAGGTGGCCCTGCTCCGGACTGTGCTGGGGCTGAGCTCATCCTCAGGGCTGAGGTGCTTCCTGCCAACCCCACAGGATGGTCCGGCCGTGCCATCCTGGGCCATCCTGGGCCATCCTGGGCCATCCTGGGCCATGCCATGGTCTCCCAGCAGCTCCTGCCACTCTGCCACACTGATCCGCTCCTGGAAGCCCAATGTGAATTCAGTGAATACCCATGGGAAAAAAGCAAAAGCAGTTGATGTGGGGCTTTAATGTGTTGTTTCATATCATCAAAGACTGCCCAAAGGCTTTATTCTTTTTTTTCCCAGCTATTAATAAGGGGTCTGACATAAATAAAAGCCTCTAAATTAACCCCAACCAAATAGGTGTCATATGAGCAGTGAGAAAAGGAGATAGAACTGCTAACCAGCATTGTTTTTGTGCCAGTATTTCATCTGAGGTAATTTGAGGGTGCCACACACTTCATTGTAAACCAAGAGCCGAAGTGTTTTGCTGTTAAATCTCAAACAATGCAGCAGCTTGTTTGGGTGCTTGCTGCAGATTGTATCGCCTGGTTAGTGTGGAAAACCTGACTCTTTTCAGAACATATCAGATGGAAAGCTGACTTAATCTGCGCTGAGATGATTTGCTGCCGCACATTTTCTCTGTATTGTGATCTCGTTTTGTTAATTAGCTCAGCACTGCCGTGCTGTGTAGCAGGCTGCCTGTTGCAGGAAGGCAGCAGCCGTATGCAGGGCTGTAGCGCCCGACCCCGAAGCGTGGGGCTGCCACAGCACCTCTCTCCAGCCCTGGGAATGCTGCCTGGTCTGTTGAGCACCATCTGAAGATGTGTCTGTCCTTACAGATCTACTCGGGCCCCCCAGAAGACAGCGCTGCCCCCCCCAGTGCCTCCCCCCAGGGTGGCTGCCCGGAGGCACAAACCCATCACCATTTCCAAACGCCCTCTGCGGGAACGACCTGTCTTCTTTGGGGCTTCTGTGGAAGGAAGTGGAGGTCAGTTCCGCTGCTCTCCTCACTCTCCCTCACTCCTGTTTCTTTTAACTCCTTTCCAGGAGCAGTGTAAACAGTACCAGAATTGCATTGACAAGGCTGTCAGCATGGCAGACAGTGCGTTCTGGTGTTGGGTGAGAAAGGAAAGTAAGAGCTGCTATCAGAGGTTGCAGTGCCTCGCAGCTCAAACTGTCACTGGCAGAACAGCCCTCAGTTGCTGCCTGGCTGCATGTCCACACTCGACCCTAACCGGTCTGTCTGTCTCTAACCCGTCTGTCTGTCCCTCGGCTCCACAGCAGACCAGCTCAGCCAGACCCCCAACGGCAGCATCACCACGGAGGCCCCCAGACCCCTGCTGCGCAGCCGCATGCCCGCACCCCGGCCTGGGGGGGAGGAACCGGGACGGCCGCCTGCCGAGCTGGAGGTGGGCAAGCTGGTGGCCAGGCTGCAGGACGGGGGTGCGAAGCTGCCTGGCAAGGCTGCCAATGGTGTGGTGAGCAGCCCTGCCCTGCGGACCTCCACGCTCCACGCCAGGAGGCCTGCGCCCCGGCCGGGCGGCTGCGGCAGAGATGGTGAGCGGCACAGCTGTGTCACAGCCACGGTGTGACAGAGCACGGCTTCTGTATGGCTTAATAAGCATTACCTGTGTGCACGATAGGTATAAGTAACAAGTTTAGGGCCAAATTTGGGTTGGTGCTGTCTGTGCCCTGAAGGAAGGGGCTGGTGTGTCTGTGTGGCTGCGTTGTCCCCTGCAGTGCCAGCACACAGCTCACCGTGTGGCACACGGTGCTGTAACTGCGTGCGTGGGGAGCTGAGCTGGGTGAGATCCTTAAGATGATGGTCGTAAATAAGAAATACTGCTAGTTCTGCCATTGCCAGGCTTACTTGTGCGCTCTCCAGTGCTTTTTAGATGTTGTCATCCCCAGCAGCTTCACAGCCCTGTATTTAGAGAATGAAAGCATGGGGCTGCATAAAGAGAAAGAATAAAAGGCCTGACTGGGTAGCACAAACATAAAGTTCATCTGACTAACACTGCTGGCTTAATTTAAATTTGTTGAATTAAATGGTAGGTGGAAATCTGCCTCTGGAAGAGTAAAATGGCTTTTAAAATTGGCTTGTATACCAACTCCATTTAGTGCTTACAGATTTGATGTTTTCACATTATCACGCATTGCGTGCTGACAGCATGATCCGGAGACAGCACAACAAAATGGGCTGCTGATCCTGAGACGTATAAATGGGAGAACACTGAATTAGCAATGAAGTTATATTGCAGCTATACTGCTGCTTTAAAATTGGTGCTGGAACACTGCATCACGCTTCAGTGCGGACAGCTTGGGGGTAATTCTGAAGAACTGGAGAAGCCAGCAGGATGGATGAGAGAATAGGCCTTCTGTGGAGACGCTCCAGTTATAGTTTAGCAAAGAGGAAATTCAGGATCAGAATTTACAAATGCAGGCATGGAAGAGATGTGGCTAAGGAGTTGTCCTGCTGAGAAAGTCCTAGGGGTCCTGGTAGTTGAAGGGCTTAACACAGCCAGCAGCGTGCTCTTGCAGCCCAGTAATGCATCTTCACAAACACGTCCTCTGCCAAAGCTTCACACGCACTGTCTGTGGTCTTCTGCCTTGCAGGAGAGTACGATGGTGTCCCCAAGCCACGGCCCCATGGCGATAAGCCCGTGATAACACGTCCTCCTGTGAGACCTCCAGACCCACCGAGCAGGGCTCCCATCCCACAGAAGCTGGAGCAGAGGCCGGATCTGATAGCAGGGACAGCAGAGGAAATGCCTTCTTCAGTGTAAGCCAGGGGCCGGGAGGGCAGCACGGCGAGGGGCCACAGCTCAGCCTTTGGCCCCAGGGCTGGGGGGAGGGCAGGGGGGGCTGCGGTGACCGGCAGCGTGAGCTGCTGCCATCTGCCAGGAGTGCTGGAAGGGCAGAAGGAGAAGCAGCATGCTGGTTTCCAGCACTGTTGGCATAGCGGGGCTGGAGCTCGTGCAGGTCCCATTCCCCTTTCCATGGGCAGGGGTCTGAGTCATTTGGGAAGAGCTGTGTGAGAGCTGGGTCAGGCTCTGCCCTTAGGGCACAGCTGGGGTGGAGCGTGGCCATAGCAAAAGCAAAAACACTGCAGGAACAAAAAGCTCTGAGCCCTATCCAATGTAGCGCCGGGGCTGACTTTCCATCATCTTCTCAGTTACTTCTCAGTGCAGCTGGAGCTCCCTCCCTTCCTGCTCTCAAAGAGTCTCTCAAATGAGATGTTTCCCAAGAAAAGAGAGATCCTGCTTGGATCTCCATTAAGGAATTGGATGCAGTTCAGCTTCATTATCAGATTTCTTCATGTTTTTAAAGAGACAGAAACCCTGCTGTCCCTCACTGGGACGTGCTTCTCCTTCCCCCATCATCCCATGGATTCTCAGTCTGTTCTCCCTGCACGCTCACCTGATGCTCTGCCGCCAGACTTAAGCTCTAGGATTTGAGGTAGCCACCTGCCCAGTGCCTGTGGCAATAGGAGATGGCAAAAATGTTTGTCATCCTGAAAGTCTGCTGCTCGGCAGCCCCTGCGTTCTGCTGAGAGCCCCCTGTGTGGCTGTGTGACATCCTCATCTTCACTCCTTAATCCAGAAAGGTGCTGTCAGTTTCAGCTCCATGCTTGCAGGGCAGGAATGGGCTTTGCCTTTCTTCTCCTGAATCACTTATGTTATAATTTTTCCTTTTATGAGGGCAGTTGGAAGCTTAATATGAAGCACATCATAAGTGGAGAGGCCATAAAAAGTGACAAGTGCACGTTTACACCAGCACATAGGCTTTTGAGCAAGAGCAGTTAAATAAGCTGTGTGATTAAATTGATGAAGGTTGCCTGGTCAGAGCAGCATGCAGGAAGCACAGAGTGGAGCTTAGAGCACGAGGAGTGCAGCCGGCATCACTAGAAGTGTTGTCTTCCATGTCTGCTGATGCTGCTGCTCTTTTCCATGGCACAAATGCTATCTGATTAGTGAATGATATACATCAGATAACTGGAGTGACCTCCTCTCTTGTTCTGTTTGCAGAGTGGCCTCCAGGACCAAGTTCTTTGAGACGGCATCACGAAGAACCGGCAGGTGAGCCTGCAGCCACAGGGCTGCTGTGCTGCAGCAGTGACCCTGCATGGGGCACAGAGCCATCCCTGGGGGGCACAGCACACCCAGCAGGAGCTGCTGAGCTGAAACACCAACCTAAACAAACAGCCCTGAGTGCAAGTCTGCTCCGGGCAGGGGCTGCATGAAAAATTAATCCTAAATCCACTAAGTGGTAAACACGCAGCCGTGCATGGAATTAAGCCAGCTTGTCTGTCCATATTGTTCTTATGTCTCAGCCTCTGTGGAGGGCAGAGGGGGAGATCATGGGAGAGATGGGAAGGGCTGGGAAATGGCAGCAGCAGACAGCAGTGGGACCCACACAAAATGTCTGTGCAGGGTGTAGCTCCACGTGGCCAGATGGGCTGTGATGGCACAGCCTGCACACGGGGGCCCTCACTGGGCTGGGGGGGCTTTGGGTCGCTGGCACTGTGGTTTGTGGCAGCAGATTTCGTTTAGAAAATATCTGCTCAAATAATCCTCAGTTTCCTGCTCTTAACAGTCGCTGAGCTCTGCCAAGACTGCAGATAGATTTGCAGGCTTTGAAAAGCTGATAAGAGTTGATTTTCTCCAGTGTCAAACAATGGTTTCTTCACTTTAAAGATAAATCGTTGACCTGACTTCTGCCCATCACTCTACTTATGTGCATTCAATCTTTTTTCTTCTGTTTTCTTTGACTCCACTGCACTTAGTTCTTCATCACCACAAGGCAGGATCCCAGGTGATGAAAGCTGAGACAAAAGGTACGTGTTGGTAACAGTGATCAGCCAAAGCCACGTGGTGGTTCTGAGCTCAGCAGATGGGGTGGTGGGAGCCCAGGGGAGGGAATGGGATCTCAGAGAAGAGAGTGGGAGAAATGTCCTTTCTGCTGGAGACCTTTGACAAGGGCAGGATTGGGGCTCGGGGCGGTGCCTGCTGTCCATCGGTGGGCATTGCTCAGCAGACCATCCTGCTCTGCTGTTCCAGAGCTCCTTGCTGCAGCAGTCAGGGAAAACACGAGCACTGTGGAAACAGCTGCACAAGATTTGGGTTTATGCTGGTGCTGGGTTTGCCATCACTGATGAACATACACTGCTGCATGTTGCCACACTTGTTTTCTTCTTTCAGACAGTGCAACCATCTCAGCCCAGCTAGACCAAGGAGATGTTCTGTGCTTGTGAAATAGATGTGTCACAGCTAAGACTTTTCCAGTTCAAATGACCTGGAGAGCAGCTATCATACTGGACGATAATTTTGTGCTGTCAGAAGTGGCTCAAGGAATTAGAAGGAGATAAAAATGGCAAGAAGGCCGTTACTACGTTTGTCTTGAACTGTTCCCAGTCCTTTCGCCATCGCTTTCTGCCCAAGTGAGAAATGCTCGCCAGGCGCCTCTGCAGGTGGCAGCAGTGCTGGGTGAGCACCAACAGCAGCACAGCCAGGCTGTGAAAAGGACAGCAGAGCAGAGAGCTCTGTGCACCTCCACGCGTTTTGGGACTTAACCTCAGTGAAGGGTGACCTTGGACAGATGTCGCAAAGTTCAATATGGTGATTACCAGTGCTTGGGTGCTGGGGAAGAATGACTGGAAGCTGCGTCCTTGCCACGAGAGACTCGTCCCATACTCTGCGTTCTCCTCACTTACGAAGCACTGGTGTGCTTTTCCATGTGCATTGCTGGTGGCACTGCTTGCACTGGGGCTGGCAGGGCAGCAGCAAACTGGAGGGGAGCGGGGGGACGCAGCCCTGCTCCTCCTGCTCCCATCTGCAAATCTGCAACTGCTCCCCACAGACCCAGCAGAAGTCTCAGTGCCCGTGGTTATTCTGCTGGGCCAGCACAGGTGGGGAGAACTGAAACTCCAGAAATATGGGTCAATGCCTGAAGTTTTTCTAAGAGGAACACAGTTTCTTGTTTGCTTGTTACATTAATTTACGATCCAAGAGATCTCCGGTCTCTTTCCCTCAGCAGCAGTATTGTATTGATGCCTCTGGTCTGGAAGGGGAGCATATTTCTCCATGCCAGGACCTGTCCCAGTGCTGCATAGAGGTCTGTGGCTCCAGACAGCGTCAGGGCTCAGTGCTGAGCTGTAGCATTTCCCTGTAGATAGGCAATGAACTCTTCCCTGCTTTCTGTCACCAGTCTAAAGGCAGCTTCTTTCTTTTCAGTGACTTTCCTTGGGTGCTGGGAGCGTTCCCAGAACAGGCACCAAACATTCCCGTTTGTTCCCCAGCCCTCCATCCCCCCAGGTCTGACACGGCTGGACAGGCAGAGGCTGCAGCAGTGCTCTGCGGTGTGCAGGTGCTTTCCTTCTGTGTGCCTCTGCCTGCTGCCTTACCGAATGTGATGAGTGCTGTGCTGATGGTGCTTCCACCCCCGTGGGCTTCAGCGCTGCCCCAGCTGCTCGCTCCTGTGCTCGTACCCTGAGCAGTGGCACGTAGCAGTGGCTTTAGAAAAAGGCGTAGTGTCACCACTTTGACTACATTGCGTGCAGCAGCATCTCAGGGCTTCTCCATGCTAAGCTGAGCCCTCTGCTGCACCCTCTCATGAGCAGACAAGGGGTGAACAGCATCAAACTGGAGTGCCTTGTGTTTCTGGCTGCACGTCCCCCAGAGCTCAGCATCGAGTGCCCAGTGTGGGAGTGCTCCCCGGGAACAGGCAGCTCTGTCACAGCTGTGGTGTCACCCAGCAGTGTCAGCCCAGCACCTCCTCCCCACTTCCAGCAGTGCCTTCTGATCTGGGCACTTCTGGGGCAGTGGGCTGTGGGCAGGTTGGCTCAGTGTGCAGCTTCTGTTCTGCACTGAGTGCTGAGCGGCACCACGGGGACCGGCCCTGTGCGAGACGGCAGCTGTCGGTTCTCCTGTCCCTGTGCTCGTGAACAAACCCAGTGCTGTGCAGATGGCACAGATGTCTGTGGGACAGCGGTGGAGTCTGAAAAAACAAAGCCGAGTCTTGTTTTCATCCTCAGAGTTGTAAGCGGGGAGGCAGCAGCACAGTAAGAACAGGTTCCAGTGTCCTTGTAAATGTGTTTGTCACACGTCTGTGCTGTGGCTTCTTCCTCATCAGCACGGCGGAGCCCTGGCGTCTCTGCTGGGCTGGGAGGCACAGCCCCTACCCTGTGCCGTGCGACCCCGGGCCGTCAGCCCTGCAGCCATTTGGCCACATAGCGGCGTAGAGTACTTCCACGTTTATAAAGTTTCCATGAGGTTCAACGAAGTCCACGCGTTGTTTCTTCCTGTCGCAAACGACGCCCGAGCGCCGCACGAAGCGCCGGCCCTCCGTGCTGCGAGGCGGGGCTGCGGCGCTGCACGAGGAGCCGCGCACCCAGCGCCGCGCCGTTCGCTGCCCCGATGGCCGCGCGGCCCCGCGCCCCTGCAGCTCCCGCCGATGGCGCGGCCGCGTCACCGCGTGCGGCTCCCCCGGGGCTGCGCTTCATGCGCGCTGTCCCGCTGTGGCTGCGCTGAGCGTCGCGGCCGCCCGCAGGCACGGGGCGCGGTGACCAGACGGCCCCGCAGCGCTGACGCCGTGACCCCGTGTCAGCCTGTGCTGTGGTCGGTGGGACGGCGGGGCCGTGGGCCGGCTCGCCTCAGCCCAAATTGCTTCCGGCCGCAGCCCTGTGGGGTTGCTTTTTTTCTCCTTCTTTGTTGGGTTTTCTTTCCAGCCAGCACAAAAGCATTTCTGAACGGCGTTGGCACACCGAGGGGCCCAGTGGGAGCGTTCTGAAGCTGCAGCCTCTGCTGTGCTGCGGGGCTGTGGGGGGTGAGCAGCCCTCAGTGCAGCTCCTCGGAGAGGCACGGGCGTTGCTGCACACTTTTATATGTTTTCTTACTTTTCTTACCTTTAACCCCAGGCCACTGAGTACTGTTCAGCTTCCCCTGCCCGCAAACACCTTTCCATGCAGGACTGCTACAAGCCCAGCAGGCTGCTCACTCCTGCTGCATTACCAGAGGGCCCCTGCGCAGCTGCCATGGCCATTAATGAGCAGTGGGCTGCAGATTTCCTGACCTGGCACACCTGGAGGCTGAGCAGCAGCAGCAGGGCTCCAGGTGTGGGCAGAGCAGAGCCTGGAGGGCTCTGGGAGCAGCAGCTCAGGGTAAGGGCGGTTTCCTTTTTGTCAGTGCTGGGGTTGGATGTCACGGTCAGCGCAGTGCGGTGCTGTGTGGGACATGGGGAGCATGGGTCCCTTTCACCACGAAGTTACAGTGGAATGGAGTTACAATTGGAGTTAGAATTGTTCATAAAGATACTGAAAGCAACACCAAAGGAGGAGGACACGGGGCTTTATTAGTGCCTTGCTTTGAGAAATACATTGATCAGATGAAATTTAGTTTTAAGAGACCCAAAGAGGCGTATCTGAAGAGACCAGTCAGCCGATGGGTAAAAGAAATAACAGCTCAGATAATCAATAGCAAAAATCTGACTGCGAAAAATAGCCTCTGTGAATTACCAACACACAGCCTCATCCATTTTGAAATTACCCAATTATTCTTGGCATCTTCAACCCCTATTATTTGTCACACCAAGCAGCATTTCTTATGCGCACAACTGAAATGAAAGCCGAATGCAGCGTACAGCAGCTCCCACAAACAAAATTCTGCCTTCATTGCACTTTGAACAACAACAGATCTGAAGTTACACAAGAGCTGAGTGTGGAGCAGGGAGGGCTGTGTGGGGCACAGCACGGGCTGAGGGCTCACGGGGGTCCGGGCGTGGGTTGGGGTGTCTCATTGCCCCCAGTGCAGTGTAATGGGTTCTGTCTTTGTCCTGAGCCCAGGTGGGCTCCTCTGGTTGGTTACGACACAGACGGTGTCACTCAGCCCAGCACAGTGATGTCTGTATTGGGGTCACATCCTGCACTGCATGGCACGGCAGTGAGGTGTCACTGCTGCCCTGCCCCCGTGGCAGTGTCACGGGTCTCTGTCCTCTGCGTTCCGTGTGTTTGGGGCAGATCGAAGTTCCAATCAAGAAGAACAATGAAGAAAGTGAAAACAGTGACAATAGTCCAACTGATGTCTTTTTCTAGAAGTCGAGTTCGGCCTCAAGGGCCATTAATTTGGGCAAAGTGACGGAAAAGGCAACAGCAGTGTAGTGGAGTTGCACCCCTTGCAGAACAAGACGTGCTGTGATGGAGCCGCGGGCACGGCAGCGGGCAGAGGTTGGCACTGCAGCACAGGCACAGCAGGCTGCGATGGGATGGAGGTGCTGCAGGAGCCCCAAGCTCAGCACTGCCCTCAGCACCCAGCAGTGAACCAGCAGTAGAACTGGGCCGAGTCTGTGGGTCCCCACTCCTTTTCTTTTGGTAATCCCACGGAGCTTCCTCCAGGACTTTACTCAGCAGTGGTGAAGCAAGCAATTGCAAAGACATTACGCTCAGTTACTGCTGTGAGCACAGCTGTGGGCTGGGAGTCCTCCCCGAGAGAAAGGCACCAGCAATGGGCTTTTTGGCTTGTTGCAAAGGAAATAAAGTGTATCAATATAGAGAACTCTTTTCATTACAGAGACAAGTTAACAAATAAACCAGCACTGAACTGCCACAGAGCACAAAACACCCGGTGCAGAGAGCAGCTTATTCTAAGCTTACTGTGGTTTTATGTTTGGTGCAGATATGTACTTTTCAAATTGTAAATGCAGGTTTTCCAGCTATTTTCAATAGGAATGAACAGAAGTCTCTCCTGGCTTCCTCAAAGCAGTGACCACGATGCCAGAACACGGCTGTGGGCAGCTCACAGCCCGAGCTGTTGTTCTGGAGGCCCACACCTCCTGCAGATGTGGCACTGGGGCAGCATTTCTGCAGCTTTGTGCTGAGGTCAGGTTGCCCCGTATCACCATTCCCAGCACCCAGGGACAGATGGCATCAGCACCTCGGCTGTGGCTGCTCCCACCAGGCAGCAGGAATCAGAGCCATTCCAGCAGTCATTACGTTGTAGGAACGTATTTCTGCTTTGAAGTGGTGAGAAAATAGGCACAGTCCCAAGATTCTGTCCTGAAGTGCATGGATGCTTTGTGCAGCTGAAGAGAGCAGAGATAAAGGGTGCTCTGCTGCCCCTCGGGTGCCACCCCGTCCCTGGTGGCCAGAGCAGTGGAAGGAGAGCTGCATGCTGACACTGGGACCCCCAGAGTGCTGCATCCCAGCCATGCAAGGATGGGCCTCAGAAACCTGGGCAGTGCAGAGCCCCAAAAAATAAACCAAAACTTCTGTTACTATTGGCACACGCTGCCTCACCACCGCATGAACACCCAAGGGCACTCAGTGTGCAGTCAGAAAGAAAGCTCATCAGCAGGAATAGAACAGGTACCTTCAGCAGTATAAATGGGGGCATGCCTATGCATACGTACACGTACGTTTAACATGTAGTTTGTTATCAAAACGTCTCAGGAGAGATCCCCACAGTGGCAGCTGCGTGACTGTGGCAAACGGCACTGCCCTGACTGCAGGGTGCAAAGCCATTCTGTGTTCTAACAGAGCTCAGCTCCCCAGGACTGACCCGCTGCTGTTTGCCTACCTATGCACGGGGCAGGATGCTCACTGCCTGGGCTTAGCTCCAAAGCGGAGCTAAGGCTCCTTCCCAAAGCTCCCAAAGCTGAGCAGAAGGCTCCTTCCAATGTAAAAGCAGAGCTGCTGTTCCTCAGCTGCACTGTGCCTTGCCAGGGAGCCCAGGGTCTGAGCTGGCCCTGCACGGGGATGGGAGCTCAGCTGGGACCCCCAGGTCGACTGCAACAGGATGAGGACGGTGGTGAGATTCTCTTCGCTTTATTAAAGCAAAAATAGACAAGAAAATGCAGAAGAAAACACAAAGTACAAAGATATACAGCAGGATCTGGACTTTGGTATTGTTTGATTTTTTTTTTTTTTTCCAGTTCCTGCAGCAGCCAATGGAAATAAACCAAGAGACACTGTTACT